GGCCAACGGCGTCTAAGCACGCCGCTCCGAAGGCGCCAGTCCAAATCATCCAGGCGCAGGTGCCGTGAGGTCGGGCAGACGCGACGCTTTAGTGTGTCCACGTCGAGGCCGCGGGGAGGCCGGAAGCCGTCTCTGCTGTGATCAGGGCCAGCGGCCCCCGCCGCTCGCTGTCGGACAGGAGCGCGCACCACCGCAGGAGCGCCGTTCCCGACACGAGGTGAGGCGGCGCGCAACTCACTTGCAAGCGCGACGTTATCTGCCCATCGAGGCCGCGAGAAGGCTGGAAGCCGTCCGCCGTGCAGGGCCAGCGGCCGTCCGCTAGCGGTCGGACCGAAGCGCGCACCACGGCAAGACCTAGGACGACGACAACTATGCACCAACATCGACTTATCCTGGGCCCAGGATCGGTGTATACATCTTGCTGGCCTGGCCAGGACGGCGTATACACCGATCTTAGCCCCGAATGTGCCTGACCAGGATCGGTGTCGGTGTATAGTTGTCGTTGCCCGCAGGAGCGACACTCCCGAAGCGAGGTGAGGCGGCACGCAGCTCAAGCGCTGGCTTTCCCACGGGATGCGCAATCAACGCGCGCAGCTCACTTACAGGCGCGACGTCATCTGCCCATCCAGGCTGCGAGGAAGCCAGGAGCCGTCCGCCGTGCAGGGCCACAGCAGCGCGCACCACCGCAGTAGCAACACTCCCGAGACTTGCCATCTTTCGGACGCCCATTCCCCGTGCATGTGTCCGCTTCGTGCGTTTTTGTGTCGCAAGATGTTCCAAGATGCTCCTCGATGGTCCCCATCGTGAAAAAATGCACACGTACAGGCGATCCCAAGCAATACGCGGGGAAGCGGTGCGCAGCTCACGCGCTGGCCTTCCCAGGGCAAGCGCAATCAACGCTCACGCGCAGCTCACGCGCAGACCACGGCGCGCAGTTCACGCGCAACTGACTCTCCCACGGCGCGCAGCTCACGCGCAGTCCACGGGCAGCAAGCAGGCGCCTGCTCCCAAAGCGTTTCGAATTGAAGGAGGATCAGCAAGGGCGTCCTGATGAGAAACGACCGTTCGCAACCGGATCTCGGCTTCGGTCCCAATCAAGTGGTTTACACGACTGTTGGCACATGAATATACATAAATATCAGCTTGGGCTTCGCCCTTCTAACGTAGAATAATCATATGAAAAAGGATCCACTTTGTTGAGCAACGTGTCTCAACCGTTATCAGGCAGGCCACAAATGATTTCAAAGTGCTACACGGTATTCTTGGTTTCTCTAGGAGTCAAATGTGCAAGCAGCAGTTACTTTCGATTGATCCTTGATGCTCGAGCTCTTTAAGCCTCGCCCTGCCGTTTCGCTCGTTCATTGGCCGGTCATCCGAACGCGCAGGTCTCCCTGACCAGGGAAGAAGAGCGAGCAACCCTGCATCGCCCTGTAACCACCTGGACCTCGTCGCGAGGGTTAATGCACCCGTGCAAGGAGATTTTGCCAAGCTCCGCCTCTGGCTCCGTCGCCGAGACTGGTTTCGATGTTCCACGCCTCACCACATACTCCTTATGTGCAGGCCTCCTAGATGGGGTCCGAGTTGATGGGGTCGGAGGATCGCGCTGCATCGCCAATGCATCGCCAATACGTCGGCGATGCATCAGCGATAAATCTGCGATGCATCGGCGCCATCGGCGTGGAGAAAATCGGGCTCCACATCGAGCCATCAGCTTTCGACTCAGCGCGCCGCGCCGTTGCCCTGGCTGCTGCCGCCCAGGCGTCCATGTCGTCCCGCTCCGCGGGTGTCCGCGGCCTCTCCAGAGCGCGGACTAGACATCCCACACTGTGGGAAACCTCACCGAGAGTTTTTCCGTCGCGACCTCCGCGATGGCACACAGTGCCGTGGATCGAACCCGCTCAACGGTAGCTCCGCTACCGATGTTGATGCGGCGCACTTTTCTCATCACACGCGAATGGCGGCCCTTCACAGAGGGGCAAAGTTGGCGCAGCCACCCCTCCGATCTCTCGTCGGCACCATCAACATCACCATCACCATCACCGTCACCGTCACCATCATCATCAGCAGCATCATCATCATCATCATCATCATCATCATCATCAGCATCATCCTCATCATCATTATCATCATCATCATCAAAATAACACGAATAATACAAATAATGAAAGCAGTAAAAATCAGGATAAGAATAGTAATACTCGTCATCAGCATCATCATCATCATCATCATCATCATCATCATCATCGTCATCGTCATTATCATCGTCGTCGTCTGCATCATCATCATCATCATCATCATCATCATCATCAGCAGCATCATCATCATCATCATCATCATCATCATCATCATCATCATCATCATCATCATCGTCTTCTCCACCACCACCATCAGCTCCATCAATATCAGCATCATACCCATCATCATTATCATCATCACCAGCATCATGATTATCATCATCATAATCATCCTCAGCATCAGCATGAGCATGACCATCAGCATCATCATCATAATCAGCATCATCATCATCATCATCGTCATTACCATCGTCGCCGTCGCAATCATCATCATCGTCATCATCATCATCACCACCATCAGCATCATAAACATCAGCATCGTACTCATCATCAGCATCATCAGCGACATCATCATCATCATCATCATCATCATAATCGTCGTCGCCGTCGCCATCATCACCATCATCAAGTTCATCAGATCCACCATCCACATCATCAGCATCATCATCAGCATCATCATCGTATCGTAATCAACATCATCATCAGCAACATTGTCATCGTCATCACTATCATAACCATCATTACCATCGTCGGCACCAGCACCATCAGCATCGGACTCGCCATCATCACCATCACCAGCATCACCACCATCATCATCATCGGCATCATTACCATCGCCATCAGCATCATCAACAGCACCAGTATCATCATCATCATCATCATCATCATCATCATCATCATCATCATCATCATCATCTTCATCACCAACTACAATAACATCATCGGCACCGCCATCATCACCGTCGCCATCACCATCACCATCATTAGCATCATCATCGTAATCAACATCATCATCAGCAACATTGTCATCGTCATCACTATCATAACCATCATTACCATCGTCGGCACCAGCACCATCAGCATCGGACTCGCCATCATCACCATCACCAGCATCACCACCATCATCATCATCAGCATCAGCATCACCAGCATCAGTATCATCATCATCATCATCATCATCATCAACTACAATAACAGCATCGGCACCGCCATCATCACCGTCGCCATCACCATCACCATCATCAGCATCATTATCAGCCTCAGATCCACCATCCCCGACTTCAACATCAACACCGCGGTTGTCAACTTCGTCGGCACCATTACCATCACCATCATGATCAACACAACCACCACCAAACCCATCACGCGTTCAGCACCATCACCGCAAGCATCACACTCATCAGCATAGTCAGTGACATCACCATCATCATCATCATCATCATCATCATCATCATCATCATCATCATCATCACCAGCATCGCCATCATCAGCATTGACAGCAGCATCATCATCGTCAGCATCACCTTCGCCCTCACCAGCATCATCACCACCATCAATATCAGCATCGTCATCATCATCATCATCATCATCATCATCATCAGCATCATCATCATCGGTATCACCAGCCTCATCATCAGCAGCATCAGCAGCATCAGCATCATCAGCATCAGCATCATCATCCTTCCCCCCGCTTCCTCCTCCTCCTCAACTTCATCAGCATGTTTATCGACATGATAATCGAAATCATCAGCATCATCACCCGTGTCTACACCGTCTCCACCCACATCAGCACCATCCCCATAACCAGTATCGGCATCACTACCAGAACCACCACCACCATCATCAGCGTCAGCATCATCAGCACCATCAGCATCAGCATCAGCATCAGCATCAGCAGCATCAGCATCAGCATCAGCATCAGCATCAGCATCAGCATCATCATCATCATCATAATCATCATTGTCAGCATCGTCTCATCATCATTGTCAGCATCGTCAGCAGCATCATCAGCATCATTATCATCATCATCATCATCATCATCATCTTCATCATCTCCACCACCACCACCACAACCATCAGTTCCATCAACGCCAGTATCATATCCATCATCAGAAACACCAATAAAATCAATAGCATCACGATCATCACTATCCTCATCATCATCCTCATCCTCATCATTACCAGCATCCCTCCTCTTCCTCCTGCTCCTCCTCATCATCCTACTCCTCTTCCTCCTCGTGTCCTCTTCCTCCTCATCCTCCTTCTCCTCCTCCTCCTCCCGCTCGTGTCCTCCTCCTCCTCCTCCTCCTCCTCCTCCTCAGCATCATCCTCCTCCTCCTGTTCCTGTTTCTTTCCCGTTCCCTTTCCCTTTCCCTTTCCCTTTCCCTTTCCCTTTCCCTCCTCCTCCTCCTCCTCTTCCTCCTCCTCCTCCCCCTCATCTCCCCTCTCTCCCTTATCTCCCATCTCTCCCCTCTCTCCCATCTTTCCCCATCTCTCCCCTCTCTCCCCTCTCTCCCGACGCTCCCCTCTCTCCCATCTCTCCCCCTCCTCCACCTCCCCCCTCCCGCTCCCTCCGCCCCCCTCGCGCCACCGCCCCCCCTGCCCTCTCTTCTTCCGCCGAGGCGCGCCCGCGGCCAATGTGGCCGTCGGGACCTTCGCCAAGGCCCTCGGCACGGGCCGATCGGTCCGCCCGGAGGGGGGGGGGCTCCAAAGCGGAAGCTTTTGGGCCCAGGGGGAGCGGGCGGGGGGAGGGGAAGAGGAGGGGAGGAACGAGGAAGGAACGAGGGAAGAGGAGGCAGGAGGAACGATGGAAGATGAGGCAGGAGGAGGGAGGAGCGAGGGATGGGGAGGGCAGGAGTAAGGGGGACCAGGAGGGGGAGGAACGAGGGGAAGAGGAGGCAGGAGGAAAACTGGCGAGGACTAGCCTCACTGCGCCCCGTGGGCTCTCAGCACCGCGACGACGTCCTCCTGCCTGTTGATATTGGCCACGTCCATGGGCTTCTGCCCCTGCCGATCTCGGAGCGTCTCTTGGGGCTGGAGGAGGATGGCAAGGAGGAGGTGACGAGGAAGCACAGAAGGGAGGACGATGGTGGTGCTGGTGGAGGAAGGGAAGAAGGGCAGGAGAAGGGAAAGGAGGGAACAGATGAGGGGGAGGAGTTACATTATGTATTCTATCGACCTGCGTGGTGACCAGCTGCTGGGCGGGGCACGCTACACAATTTCACCCCGCAGGGAATGTCTCTCCCGACTTCGGAGAGAGATCCCACTGCATGCGACTCAAAACGTCGTTCCCAGCTTCCGTGGCGGGGGCTTGCACACCACTTTCAATTCACGAAGCACTTCAGTGCAGTGACACCCGCACACCCGACACAACAGCATTCCTCGGTAGGTTGTGAACTAGTGAGTGGAGGAGCGCTGCTCAGCACCAGGATGATCCATCACCCTGCCCCCTCCTAGCTTCGACGGTCAATACCATCAGGTGGTGGAGAAAGCTCGCGTCTCCTTGGGTCAGCTGAACGAGGGAGGGCCTGACTTCGTTGCTGAACATCAGCACGGGGCTTGCAGGGAGAAGACCAGAAATCTGCTAATTCACCAGTCCTGCTTTAGCTTCTGGCACACAACTTACACTTTAACGTAAAACGCAATCACGAACATCGCACATGTGGCCAGCATCTCGCACACGGCGCAATCTCTCGTCTGTACTGGTAGTGAAGCTCCAAACGCGGGAAATATGATAATAACACACTCTAGAAGCATTATCTTTTGGAGGCCAGTGCGGATTTCTTGGATCTGCGCTGAGGCCCCCTCCCTGGCGCGCGGAGCGCGCCAGGGGCGGCGCCGCCAGGGGGGGTCCATCGCAGATCGAATAATTCCGCGAGGAGCTCCGAAAGTCCATGTTTATGCTGTTTTTTTCTCCTTCGAGGAAGGAGGAGGAGCATTGAAGGGAGGAAGAGAATGCTGAAGAGGAGGGAAGGGGGGCCTCTGGCCGCTGAGCGTAGCATCAGGCAAGCAGATGAGGGCAGGGGCCCGCGTTCAGCGGCAGAGGAAGGACTGGCAATGGTGATCACGCAGACGGGTCAAGATAGCATGCGGCACGACAACTCTCGTCGACGCCGCAGTGAAGGATGCATCACACCAGCGAACGCGATACCACGACTGACCGCAACACTATGTTAGCCAACGTGGACCCCAAACAGAGGGTTGTTACGATGTGGAGGTGAATTGTATGTGGAGTAAGCTCTGTGGTGTTAGCTCTGTGGCGTGAGCTTTGCGGAGTATGGTATGTGATGTTAGCTATGTGTTTAGCTGTGGTGATAGCAATCTTGGGTAAACTGTTGGGAGTTAGACAGATTGTACGGGCTGTGCGGCTTGACCCATGTGGTGTGAGCTACGCTGTGCCGGCTGGGCGGATGAAGCCATGCGGCACGAGCTGCGCATGCTGTGCGGGCTACACCGCCCACCGGGCGCACGGGGCGCCCGCGAGCGCCCGCGAGACGCCCCGGGGCGGGCACCGAGGCGAAACCCCCGGCGGACGCACCGAGGGCACTCGGCGCCCGGGAGCGCCCACGAACCGCCCACGGGCGGGCACGGGGCGCCGGCCAGGAGAAGCCTCGGCGGACCCGCCCGGGGCACAGGGCGCCCACGAGGCGCCCACGGGGCGGCCACGGGGCACCAGCGTGGAAGATCCTCGGCTGTAGCAGGGCGAGGGAGGCCCCCGAGTGGAAGCGCTGTTTTTGGGTACGAGCAGAACTGGCTGCAGCGCACAACGAACGCTGTAAGATGATAAAAACGCAGCAGCGACGACCACTCACAATCAGAGCGGCTCCAGAGCGCGCCGGCGAAGGCCAATTCCAACCAGACCGTTGGGCGCAGTCCTGGAAAGCGAGCATCTGACAAAGGGGCGCTGGCGACACTGCAAGCGCTGGCGGCGGCTTCGGGGCGCCGCAGGGCCTGGGAATTGGTCTGGCCGATGCTGGCACCGGCCTTCAGCAGGAATTCCACGAGCTCCTTGCGGCCGTATCCTGCGCTCGCGCTCGCTTTGCGCCCGCTTCCAGCCGCGTCTGGCATAGAAGCGTCCAGATGCTGCCGCGCCAGAGCTGGAGCGATTCGCGCTTGGGCTCCAGCGCAGGACAGGGCAACGTCGGGACATCGCGGACGGATGCCGCGACGCCTCCTGGGGTCCTTGCGTGGATCGCCTGGGGAGCCTCTTCGAGACCTCTGGGGGGCTCTCAGGGGCTCTCTTGGGATTGCCTTCGAGGGTCTTGGAGCGTCTTGGGCGGTCTGGGTTGGGAGGTCCTGATGTGCCTCCCCAACCCCTCCCCTCCCCCCCTTTCGCTCCCTAGGTATTTCCCTACTCCGCTCCGTGCTGCTGCCGCTGCTGCTGCTGCTGCTGCTGCTCATGCTCATGATCCTGCTGATGTTCTGTTTTGCGTAGCCTCAAGCGCACAGATGTCTTGTGCAGCACATGGTGGATCAACGCTACTGAACAAGCCAGAGCAAGACACGTGGGCTGTGCACCTCAGAGCTTTGAGCATGAGTTGCGAGCATGGCTGCCACTGCCCAACACTCTACTAGATCCGCCACCGTTCCCCCTTGCACGTTGGGGCGTGCTAGAACGAAACGTGCTGCCTGGTTGGTTCCTGTAATCTTCTGAAGGCCCCCCACTTCCCGAGGCCACAGTACCTCGCAAAACAACACAGATTCGCGCTACTGCGGCCCAGATGCCTCCAAAACGGCCCAACATAGCGCTCCAAGACGGGCCACTTTGGTCTCACGGCGGCCTAACAAGGCTTCAAGACAGCCCACGAGGCTGTCGAGGCGTCCCAAGAGAGCCCCAAGAGCCGTCCCAAGAGGGCCTCGAGAGGGACAAATCATTGATATCCCGTATGCCGTATGTGCTGGTTCGGCGTCTCGCCTTTGGGCCCATGAGGGTAAACACGAACCGACAATTCGAGCTTTCCGCCCCAGGAGGGGTCAGGAGGCCCCAAGAGGGCCAAGAGCGAGGCCCCGAGGGCCCCGAGAGGCAACCACCACAGATGTTCCATAGCTTCTCAATGATTTTGTTAGGTCGTCGCCGTTTCGAGCTTCCGACGCTCCAAGACGGCCCAAGAGGCGCCCAATACTGCCCAAGCGGGTCCCATGGCGGCCGCAAGAAGGACCGAGAGTGAGAACACGAACCGAGAGTCCGAGCCTTTCCTCCCCAAGAGGCCCCCCGGCAAGCCCCCTGGCCCTCTCGAAGAACTGCCACCCAGGGTGGTGCGCTGGCACGGCGGCGGAACTGCCGGAGGCAGCTGGATATCATCGTGCGAACGGTACCCAAATCAACTGGACGCCTGCCTTCGCCTGGGCAGGGGCGACCCGGCGGAATCATCGGGCATTACGGTGGCGTGCGGCACTGGGGAGAAAATGAAGCACCAAACAAAACAAAGCGCACGCAAACGGAATTTCAGCCACGAAAGGAACCCCGAGACAACGATGCGAACAGCAAACACAAAGGACTGCAGCCAAAGGCAGCAAGCGGGAAAGCTGCGCAGCGACGCCCCAAAAAAACGAATGAACGAACGAATGGGCACACGAACAAACGCGAACGTAACAGCATACACCACAAAATGTGCAACGCGTCCAATCACTTCAACGCAAAGCACGAAAGGAGCATCGAATCTGACACCCAGACTGGTGCCCCGCGGAGCTCCAATACCGTGGAGCATCGGTCCAAATTTTCTCTCCATTCGGATGAACATGCGGGCATGTACTCCGTGATCACCCCTGACACAATGCAACGAAGAGTCCTAAGGACTCCGAATCCCTCCTGGTTCCGAATGGTCCTTTCGACATGCCAAAGGGGACCCTTCAGGAGTCTTAGAAGCTTCCATGAGGAATCTTCCAGGCTCCTAGCTGGAATCCTGACAAGTCCTGAGGACTCGTAACAGGTTCTAATTGGAGCCCTGATGAATGCGACGGACTCCTCGTACGAATTCCAAGGGTCTCAAACGGCTCTTCATTCCTCCTGATTCACGAAAATTTAAGGACTCCCAATAATATTCCGCAGGATCCCTAAGGGCCCTCAATGGATCCGAAAAAGAGTCCTGGAGGTTGCAGAAAACTCCGATTGAATTGGTCAATATCATGACGGCCCGGCGTACAACCTGATAGGGATCATTATGGTTCCCAAGGGCTCGTGACAGGCATCCTTCGGAACGCGAGCGCCTCATGGAAGGAGTCCACGTATTGCAGCAGCCCGAAGAGGTGGTGTCAAGGAATTCCTGCAACGGAACTTCCCAGGAACCATGATGACTCCCAGTGAGAACCCTGGCGTTTTTCACCGCGGCGCTGGCGATCGCTCAGCGCCGCAGGGCCTGGGCCTCGGGATGCGAAGCGGGAAAGTGGACACCCCGGGGGCGGGGGGAGGGCGAGGGCGGCCGCAGAGAGGAGACTGCGGGCGGGCCCCGCGCCCAGAACGTGTGGCCTCGCGAAGCCGAAGCACACTTCGGTGGCGACTCGTGGGAGCCTCCCGTGCCATCTTGTTGGCTCTTGCGAATCGACGCTGATCGACGCTAATCGACGCCAGAACGACGTTGCATCGGCGCTTCCCCACGGACTATCACGTGCTAGCGCACGCTGATACATTCTGAAGACGGAACTGCGAGGGCATGCGAGGGCTCCCACGAGTTGCTACCGAAAGGGACTGCGGACGGGCAAGGCGCTCAGAACGTGTAAGCCCCCCAATGCCGAGACACGCGACAGGAAAGCAAACCAGAGAGGAGCCGCCCGGCGATCCCTTCACGGGTCGATCGGCCTGAAGGAGCGCTGGTTGGCGACATCCGAACCCTACCCCCACCAACCATCAACCCCCACCAACCTACCGAACCCCCACCAACCATCAATTTCGCCACGCGTTCGACGAATTCCGAACCCTGCCCCCGCCGCCCATCGAGTTGCCTGAATCGTGGCTCGGCGAGGCATGGTTCGGATTTCGCCGCAGATCAAAGCCGAAGCATGCCTCTGTGTTGGGCCGCCGCTTATCGCTAAGTGGTGGACAAACATAACATAATACAGTGGACATGCCACTGGCCACAAAAGAAAACAGAGAGAAGCCGCCCTGCCCTCCCGTCACGGGTCGAGAGGCCCGAACCAGCACTGGCGTGCGACAGCCCGAACACTACCCTACCCCAACATAACATACCGCACATGTATCCGCCATCGTGCATCTGGACACGGAGTGGACGTGTCCTCAGGTCCTTTGCCTAATCCCCTGATCCTCAGTCCTCATTCCTGAGGAGTTTCTTGAGGGCCCGGACACCAAATTGCCGACTCTTCTTGAGCTTGCCGCGGTTTCCCTGGACCCTAGAAAGCGTTGTCGCGTGACCATTTCGGGCCCAAGGGGGGCCCCAAGACGGGCCCCAAGACGAGCCCAGAGGGCCCCAAGAGACCCCGAAGACGGTCAAAGATGGCTCCGAGTCGCCGAACGATCGCTCCAAGACGTCCAAGATGGCCTCAAGGCGGCCCCAGAAGCCTCCAAAACGCCCCAAGAGAGAGGGCTCCGAGAGGCAAAAATATGTGTTCCTATTGGTTTTTGAAGGATTTGGGCGTTCTAGCCTTTTCGGCTTCCCGACGCTCCAAGTCGGCCCAATTGGGCCAAGATCGCCCCAAGACGGCCCCAGAGGTCCCCAAGAGGGCCCCGCCCAAGACGGCCCAACGACGGCTCCAAGAGGGGGCCCCAGGAGGCCTCAAGACTCACGACGAGACCCCAAGAAGGAATTGTTCTGAGAACTATGACCCACAATCCAGGCACGGTGGCGGGATGAGCCGAAAGCCACGAGATGGTGGAGATGTTTCTGGCCCCGACGAAGCCTCCCAAAGCCGAAGCACGCCGCAGCAAGGCAGCACAGAGGACCCGCCCAGCCCTCCCTTCGCGGGCCGAGTGGCCCCGAAGCAGCGCAGGGGGACCGTCCTGCCGCGTAGTGGAGCCCGGAGTTCCCGCTGGAGTCCACCGCGAAAGGGTTCGCCCTGGCGCGGGGGCAGGAGCAGAGCAGTCGGCGTCGAGCCAGGATATCGGCATCGGATTGACTCGCAGCTCGCTCCTCCTTCTCCTCCACTCGACATCCTCCTCGTCCTCGTCCTCGTCCTCGTCCTCGTCCTCGTCCTCGTCCTCGTCCTCGTCCTCGTCCTCCTCCTCCCCCTCCTCCTCCTCCTCCTCCTCCTCCTCCTCCTCTGGGGGCGTTCAACGAGGGGGGCGTTCAGGAGGGGAGGGCGCAACTCTTTGCCCAAGGCCTGGGATCGGGACATGGGGGGGCCGAGGACAGGGATCGCTTCAACGCTGCGGAGCATGGGGGCAGGGCACATGTTAAGACGAAGGCAGAATCGAGACAAAATCGGACCGATATAAACTGGAAATCTCTAATAATCGGCGGGTTTGGATAATGCAACGGTCGGCACGGCCGTCTCAGAGCGTTCCGGAGCGATCTGTGAGAGCGTTCCGGAACGCTACAGCTTTATCTCGACTCTCGGCCCGTCCGACGTGTGGCCGCCGAGACAGACACGGGGGACGCGGAGATGGAAAGCTGAGGGGGACGTTAGGGAGGGACCACCTCCGTTGTCTTCTCCACTCTTCGGCGCGTCCGCGAAGTGGCGTAAACCTCTTGACTAAAACAAGCCGAAAACAAGAGCAGCTCCAAAGAGCAACTGCACCGCGACGACTGTTTTCCCCGTGTCGCGGTATCCTTCGGCAGACCAGCCAAACTTCTGCAATGACTCGTCTCTGGCTTGAGATCGATCTGCTTCACCCGACACCTCCGAGCTTCGGGCGCCACCGCCTCCGACAAGGTAAGATGTAGGTCTTGACACGAGGTCCCCATAAGCAACAATGATCTGCTTGAACCGACTCTCCGCTTCTGGGTCGCCTGGAAATTTGTCGGGATGCTTGGCCGCAACCAACTGTCGATAACGAACTTTAATCTCTTCCAGAGCTGTCCCCGCCGGTAGATCCAGAACTTCCCAAGGGTCAACCTCACTGGAAGGGTCCGCGGCGCTCTGGGATAGCGCGGCGCAGGTGTCCAGTCTGGAGGCATTCGACGAGTTTGCAAGCAGCGGGAGCACGTGAAGCTTAAGATCGTGGAGGAAAGAAAGAACAGCATAAGCTGACACTTTCGGACCCCTCGCGGATTTCTTGGATCGGCGCTGGGCCCCCTGGAAGCGCCTCTGGCGCCGCGCGCCAGGAGGGAGGGTCCAGCGCCGATCCAAAAAATCTGCGCGGAGTTCCGAAACTTGATGTTCATGCCGTTCTTTGCCTCTCAAGATCGGGCCAGGCCCCACGAGCGCACAGCATGAAGCCAACGCGCAACGAGCCGCCCCCAGGCTGGTTCCTCCCGGTGCTGCCCGGCGCTCCCTGGTCTGCCATCGATGGGCCATCTGCCTGGAAAGCCTCGGCAGAGGCCCTTACTGGAAAACTGTTCAGAGCCAACTGGCTACGCTAGAGCCAATGAGCGATGCAGCTCTGTCGCAGCTCTGCCGCCGAGCGGCACGAGGACGATGCTCACGTGTGCATACACGCCACGCGCGCATAAGATCTTAGTCAGGACAAATCGGCCACGAGACCAATCGCTCGAGGCCAAGGCAATGCCTCGTGCCCCCCCTCCCTGAGATAGCCACCTCAGATCACCCCCGCACTCGGGCCTCCACATTGTCATCATAACGACGCCAAGCCGAAGCATTATTTTTCTTCCTCAGAACGCCGAGTTCGAAGAACGTACGCGTGATGATGCTCTGAAGGGTACTGTATGATCCAGGTCAGCAAAGGGTCGTAGGGATACCTCATGACTCCCTCGACACGCGATGCACTCACGAACAAAACATTACGTGGAGACACGGAGAGCACACATTACATTCACCGAAGGAGCAACTGCCTCAGGCGAACAAAAACACCACGCTTGATTGAGCGCCGCTGCCTGGCCCGCAGGCGTGCGCCTGCGAAGCCATCACCGCCAGGTTGCCTTGCAACCGACTCTGAGACTGCTAATTTGCATCCAGCGGAGCGCCCGCGCAACTTGCGAAGAGTGAGGGGAGGTTGACGAGGCCAGTCGCCAGGCGCTGTGATCGGGCTGTACACTGCGCTGGGCGCCTCCCTGACCCTGAGACTCTGAGGCCACACGCATCTCCGAGTCTGAAAAATGGCGAGCCTCACTTCCTGTTGTTCTTCATGAGAAGGGATCGCTTGCGCTGCGTCTTCTGCATCTCTGTCTCCTCGTCGCCATTGGCCTTCCAAAGACCACGGGCCAGCACCTCCACCGAGGCGTCGTGGACCTTCTGCCACCCGTGGAAGCGACCACGCTGGCTCAGCGTACCCACCGCATTAGGGAATGCGTGATGGAGGTCGTGGAAGAGCATCTCGTTCCAGCGGTGCTTGCCGCCCAGCACGAAGGCCATGACGTCGTGGAGCAAAGGCCACTGCCTCTCCGGATCCTTCGCCAGGAAATGGTTCCACGGGTGCGAGTGGGTGAAGTTGGTGATGAACATCCACGCAGCCGAGAAGCCGCAACGCGCGAAGAAGGACACGGTGAGCATGAAGCGCCAGCCCTCGCTGAGCGGACGGCCGAGCGGCCAGGTGCCCAGTAGCCAGACGCACGCCCAGAGGCTCGCGACGAAGAGCGAGTGCTGAGCCCGGCGCGGCAGCCACTTCTTCCAGAACTCCTTGTTGCACTTGCCCCCCGCACCTGAGCATCGTTTAACCGATCCGCATCCCCACTGGCGTGACCCTTGCCCCACTGGCCGACTTGCCCACCTGGGTGAGGACCTGTGCCTGCTTCCATTGGTTTCGTGGAGCCTGTCCTCACCTAGGTGGGTGGGCTTGTGGGGCTGAGATGCCATGACGCATTGGGGATGGGGATAGGTTCAACGATCCTGTGCACCCTCGTCGGGAAAGTGAAAATACCACTCCAGCGCGAAGAGGGCCCCGGTATCATTCAGGCCAACGAAGTGGATGAACGGCAGCAGCGCCCCAGTGAGCAAGAGGCCGAAGGGGTGGATGGGGAAGGGGTACTTCCCGTGCCTCCACGTCCACTCCAGCAACCAGTACTGGAACTCCTCGGGATCCCACCCGAACTCGCCCTGCTGCAGAAGGTCCACGGTGCTGGCGTGGTGCCGGTTGTGCTCGAGCACGAACTCCTTCCAGGGCAGCGAAAAGAAATCGCTGAAGGGATGCGTGATGTACTCCTGCCAATCGTGGGGAGGGAAAGTAGCTCCGTGCATTACATCGTGATCAATATAGATGTTCTGGATAGCGATGTAGGCGAACGGGACGCCGAAAATGACCGTACACGTCCACCAATAGTCCGGAAAGAACGCCAAAGCGGCGCAGTAGGCCACCACCATCGCACACTGGGACACGAAGATGAGAGTCAAGATGTTCCACATGTACATCATCTGCTCTGGCGTGATCTTCGTGAACAGAAACGCAAGCTCAGGCGGCATGGGGTCCGGCTTGTTCGGGGTTGGGAACAGCCGGCCAGTCTTCTTGCTCCTGTTGGCATCGTCCTTATCGATCTTCAGCATCTTGCCTTCGCCTTCCTTGGCCTTCCCAGCGTTAGGGTCACCCTGGTCTGGCATGATGGCTTTCAGGCTGGCAATCTCGTGGTCTACCTCGTACTTCCTCTTCAACTCCTCCAGGTACTCATCCGCGCCATAGAGCACGGACAACTTGGCACGCTTGGAGCCCGCAGGCTTCTGGAGAAGAGGGGCGTTCGATGCCATGATCCCAGGGGAACGGCAAGGCAGAAGTGAGCTAAGCACCAGGACTGAACTGTGCTCAGCCCCTGTGAGCCAAAATGGCTATGGCGATGCTGACAAGGACAAGCTCAATGCCACCCGCCGATCAGGCCCCTCCTTATCTGAAGATCACGCGCTGAATGCAAGATCAGCTCACAGCGCGCTC